GGGAGGGGAGGGGCGGTAACGGTCGTTTGCTGGGGCGTAGCCTTGGTCGTGGGCATCTAAAGCGGCTGCAGGGGGGGGGTGAGGACAAGACGGGCGCGTGGTGTTTCCTGGGACGCGTTTAGGGCGTCGCGTGCCTTCTTGTCCACAGGGGAAGAGCCACCAGAATGTTGGAATCGGTTCTGGGCTATCGCGGGGTAACTCGATGAGCCCTGGGCGAGGGAGGGGAGGGGAGGGGGGGGGTAGAACCGCCGAGCGTATAGCGGTCGGCAAGTTTGCGTGGGGTGCGAGACAATCGATGTGAATAGTGATGGTGTCGATTGTCGATTGTCGGTTTGCGGGGGTTGGGTGGGGTGGTGGAGTGTTTGTGTGTTCGGGAGGGAGGTCGGGATCTCCTGCGGAACCGGAAGGAAGAAGAGCCGATTTGATCGGTATGTTCATGGGACGTGTCACACCATTTGCACTACGCGTGCGGATTACATATAGGAGGGGGCTATACCTTTCATAGGCTTCAATCAGGGACGTCGTTGTTTGTCGAAGACTTGCCGCTCTCTGCCGGAGAGCTCCTGTAGTTTTGGCACGGCCATCTTACTGGTTGGTTGTCTTACATATCAAATTCCGTCTAGAGGACGTCTTCTTTTTTTCACCGTCCGGGCACTTCCGCTCGTGAAACGAATGTTGATTTTTTTGGATAGAAAACCGATGACCCGCCAACGCTTTGGCATGGTGGGTCCTCCAAGGCGGCTGGGACAAAGGTTAAGGTTAGCAGAGATTTTCGCCGCACATGTGTACGCTAGGCATATATCACACTCTGTTTTAGGCGAGGGGGTCGTTTATCCGCTCGTGAATGTGTGTTTGATTGGTTGGTTGATTGTTGGTGTGCGTTGTCTTGACGGGAGTGCGGTGCGGTGAATGGAGTTTCGAGTGTGTGTGTGCGTGGATGTCACACGGAGTGCGCCGGCTGAGTATTGTTCAGAAAATCATGTTGGAGTACAACGTGGCAGCGTTGCAGGGAACTAAGTACTCACGAAACCTGATATTGGATGCCTACACGTAACTACCGTATATGACACAAGATAACACACCCCCTGGACCGAATTTCAAAGCTCGATTACTCCACGACGAAGAGGATGCATAAATGAAACAATACGTTTTCGAACAGCTCTCGACGAGACGGTTCCAACGCCGCCGTTTTCGGCGCTGTGACTCTTCCTGCTGTTGAGAAATCGAGCTTTGAAAATCGGCCAAGGGGGTGTGTTGTCTTGTGTCATATACGGTACCACACGAGACCACGAGCCCGATCGCGATCGGTATAGAGCTCTACACTGGAAACGGCATGATCATGCCGTTTAGTCTTCGAGGGGTCGCCGCAATATGCGCGGCATGAAAGTGCGGAACATCTTTCATGTGCGCCGAGGCGTGTCACCCTACAGCAGTACCAGTGATCGGCGTATGTTTGTGATTGAGCCTCTGGATGGATAGCGGGTAGTTTTTCAACCGAGAGGAACTAGTAGCCGGAACGTTTGATGTTCTGTTTTACACCTCGCCGCGAACAGCAACCAACCACAGCTAGCGGGGTCTTTCGAATTATTGTGATTTATCCCGGACCCCAAAAAGACGTTGCCGCCCCCTACCACCTGCAATCTCCCATACTACTGACAATTTTGTTGCGCCGCTCATGGGCACTTCACGGGCCACCCATGGGCTGCCCATGGGTGACCCATGGGCATGCCGATGAGCGCCCCATGGGCGGCCCATGCAGTGCACACCATGGGCACTTCAACCTAGAACTTAGCCATCAGCGCCAACCTAGCACGTATCGGGTGGGCTTGGGGTGGAGTTACGGTTATTAGCGTTGGGGTTATTAGCCGCTATAGTGCCCGTTTCAAAGCAGATAAACTATTGTTTAGGACAACATTGGTTCGGTTGAACGGGGCGCCCATGGGTTACCCATGGGAGTCCAATGAGTCGTTTGGGAAAACTGTAGAAAGTGTGGGAAGTGGGAAGCCCCCCACCTGGGGATACTGCTGCCGTACCGTGCACATAAGATGGCACCGACCGGCACCAGACAACGCCGCCCAAAAAGTGTCCCTGTGTCCGACTGCCAAACGGCATTGGATGGCAGGTGGTACGTAGTTAGGCTCCCCCATCTTCTTGAGTGAGCCTCTCACACTCTCGGCATTTTTTTGTTTTTTGTTTTTTTCGGCTGGGATGCTCATGCGATATCACCAGATTTTCGTGGTGTGCCCAAGGAAGGGTAAACAAACATAAAAAGGCATCCCACACACACACTAACACCTAGCTAGTTACCCCCCCCGCCCGCCCCCCCGGAGGGCCGAAAAGAGATTTTTCGGTTCTTCACCTCGTTGGGGGATTGTAGCACACTTCACGCAAGTCGCTGATGGGAGACGACACGTCGTGTGCTAGGGACGACGTATCGCCCATACTTTGAGCGGATTAGGTACGTACCCTCCTCTTGATGTGCTACGCTACGCACCCATTTTGTACTTGTGCTATCATGGCTTGGAGTTTCTTCGCAATATATATATTTATATAGAGGACCCTAGCTCGCGCATCGTGCATATATATGGAGCCCCGTACATTCCAGGATTACTGGTACCCCCCCCCCCCCCTCTCCATTGTCGGCGAACGTAGGAAAATGCGCAGTAGTGGTCTGTAACGAAGATAAGAAAAATCCCGTAGAATTCAAATGGAAATGGGGGGAGGAAGAACTACCGGTAGTAGACAAGTATACGTACCTGGGAGTAGAGATTTCGAAGGAGTGCTCATGGGAC